GCTTGGTATTGCCTGGGCACCTACTATCCCAGCACAAATAGCGGCCATTTGCAGACTGCTTTGTAGCTTATGCTGTGTGACCCCAGGGAGAATACAGATGGTGGCTGACCTTGAACATACCAAGAGTAATCAAGGCTCAACTAAAACACGAATGTGTATACAACCTACACAGTGGGCACACCTTCAGTACCCAGGTGGGGTAATAGAGGAGGCTGTGCTGCTATACCTTACAGGACAGCTACTACTGCATATCAGGCCATTCTAACAAGCCTGGGAGACATAGCAGCTCTACCTAATACATAGAAACAAACAGAGGGAGGCTGCCAAAATGAGGAGACAAAGAAACACGGCCCAAATGAAAGAACAGAACAGAACTCCAGAAAAAGAACTAAACAAAATGGAGGCAAACAATCTACTGGATGAAGAAATCAAAACAGTGGTTATAAGGATATTTGATGGATTTAGTGAGAAACTCAACAGCATAAAGAGATCCAGTCAGAAATAAGAGATACACTTAAATGAAATGAACAATTTACAGAGAATCAACAGTACAATTGATGAAGCCAAGAATCAAATCAGTAATTTCAATACAAGGAAGCAAAAGACATGAATCAGAACAGCAAAAAGTAACAAGAATCCAAAGAAATGAGGACATGTAAGGAGCTGTCCTCCTTTGGGACAACTTTAAGAGTACCAACATTTACATCATGGGATGCCAGAAGAGAAGAGAGAGAGGAACAAATTAGAAACCTACTTGAAAAAATAATGACGGAAGACTTCCCTAACTTGGAGAAGGAAACAGACATACAAATCCAAGAAGCACACAGAGTCCCAAACAAGATGAACCCAAAGGGAGCCGCACCAAGATACATTATAATTAAAATGCCAAAGGTTAAATAGAGAGAATCTTAAGAGCAGCAAGAGAAAAGCAGTTACTTACCTACAAGGGAGCTCCCATAAGACTGTCATCTTATTTCTCCAAAGAAACTTTGCAGGCCAGAAAGAAACATTCAAAGTGATGAAAAGCAAGCACCTGCAACCAAGATACTCTATCCAGCAAAGCTATCATTTAGAATCAAAGGACAAATAAACAGCTTCCAAATAAGAAAAAGCTAAAGGAGTTCATCAGCACCAAATCAGCATTGTATAAAATTTAAAGTGTCTTCTTTAAGAAGGAGATCAAAAATAAAAATAATAAAATGGCAATAAATACATATCTACCAACAAGTGAATCTAAAAAAAACTAAATAAACAAGCACAAGAGACACAGACTCACAGATACAGAGAAAGTTTTGATGGCTGCCAGTCGAGAGGGAGGTTGAGGGGGTGGGCGAAAAAAGTGAAGGGATTTAGTACAAATTGATAATTACATAATAGTCATGGCAGCATAAAGTCATTGGAAATAGAGTAGCCAAAGAACATATATGCATGACCCATGGACATGGACAACAGTGGGGGGATTGCTTAAGGGAGCAGGGCAAGACTGAACTGAGTGGAGAAAAGGGTGAAAAACTGGAACAACTGCAATAGCATAATCAATAATATATAATTTAAAAAATAAAAATAAGGTTAGCTGCACTAAATGAAGAACAGAGTAAGGAACAAAGGTGATGCATAATACACAGATTTTAAAGTATCCATTTTTGTGGCTTTTGATAATAAGGGAGAATCAGTTCAATTGTATCAGCAGGAAAAATTAATGTATTAGTATTCCTTACAATCCTGAAAAGGATCTGAAATAGAATCACTCACTGTTTTATAGCACACAGCTCCAACAAATTACAAACAAAATAATCTAATTCACTTTCACTATCCTAGTGAGTTAGAGAGGGAGAATATGTCTTGAATCTAGTATTTCACTCAGTGTGCTTGTGGTCAAGATGTTCAAGTAGGCAGACACGGCTCACCTCTTTGCACAACCACATCAAAATTACAACTGAAATATAGAACAACCATCACTCAAGAATGTCAGAAATCGAGCTGAATGGAAGTCTCACAAATATGGAACTGAAGAAACCACATCCATCCACACTGGCAGGAAGGGTGCAGATGAGGAACAGGTTGGCCCCACACCCAGGCAAATAAAAATTCAGTAAGAATATCTAGGGAGCCAGGAGTCCCCAACCCGCACTAGGCCCCCCAGCCCAGGATTCCAATGCCAGAAGATAAGTCCCCACAACTTCTGACTGCAAAACCCAGAGGTGATTGAGTTGGTGCAGGAGACTGCTACAGCCCTAAGAATTTCCTCTTGGGAAACCCACATGCAGACCCACCCACTCAGACTCACTCCCTCTGAGCTCCAGCACCAGTGGTATATCGGGAGAGACTTAAGTGTCTGGTATCAGGGTGAGCAGAACGCATTGTCCCTTTGCTCAACCCTCCCACCACAGAGCCAATAGGCTGGTGCCATTATCTGAGATGCCAGCAACCTGGCTAACACTGTGACTACGTTGGAGATCCACAGATGCTCCACCACATCCAATTTATGGGCTCACCCAAGCTGCTTTTCCATAAAAAAGGCTGGTCTTGGCTCCTAAATCCTATCAAGAAAGCAACAGCTGGCTTCAGTGAGCCCGAGCAGCAGCCGGATTAGAACCACAGAGAGGCTGTACCTGGGAATCTCCAAGCCCAGAACAAGTAGCAGCCATATCAGATTGCTCTGCTGCTCAGGCAAGGTGCACAGGGAAAAACACAGGTGGGGACTACTGACCTTTGCCTGCATCACCTGGGAAACCCCAGGGTCAACATAACCAGTAGACAGCTACAGACCACATTGGAGTACCACCACCCTGCTCCTGCACAGCTGATCCTCTACAGAGGTTAGTGGTCAGTGGTCCAGCCAGTCCTTGCAGGTGACTGGCCTGGCTACATTCCTCCCCTTGACCTGCCAACAGCAACCAAGGCTCCACTACAACAGGAGGGTATACTCAACACACATGGAGAGCATACCCTGAGTACACAGCTTGGGTGACAGGGGAGGCTATGCCACTGAACCCTACAGGACACCTACTAAATTAAGGCCACCAAGACATGGAGTCAAAGCAGCTCCACCAAAATGAGGAGACAAAGAAACATGGCCCAAATGAAAGAACAGATCAAAACTCCACAAAAACACTTAAAAATGGTGATATGCAATCTATCAGATGCAGAGTTCAAAACACTGGAATAAGGATGCTTAAGGAACTTAGTGAGGACCTCAGCAGCATAAAAAAGACCCAGTCAGAACAAAGGATACACTAACTGAAATAAAGAACAATTCACAGGGAAACAACTGTACAATGGGTGAAGCCAGGAATCAAATCAATGATCTGGAACACAAGGAAGCAAAGAACATCCATGTAGAACAAGAAGAAAAAAAACGAGCATAGTATAAACAGCCCTTGGACAACTTTAAGAGGTCCAATATTCACCTCAAAATGGTGCCAGAAAGAGAAGAGAAAGAGCAAGAAATCTGAATTCTATCTGAAAAAAAACAGTAAAAGAAAACTTCCCTAATTTGGTGAAGGAAACAGACATGCAAGTCCAGGAAGCACAAAGAGTCCCAAACAAGATGGATGCAGAAAGGCCCACTCCAAGACACATAATAATTAAAATGCCTAAGGTTAAAGATAAAGAGACGATTAAAAGCAAGAGTAGTTGCCAAAAGGTTGCCAGATGGGAGGAAGAGAAAGGGTGAAGAGATGAAGGGATTAAGAAGTACAAATAGGTAGTTCCAGAATAGCCACGGGGATGTAAAGTACAGTACAGGAAATGGAGGAGCCAAAGAACTTCCATGCATGACTCATGGACATGAACAATGGTGGGGCGACTGTGTGAGGGAGTGGGGGTGCTGGGTGGAGGGGGCAAAGGAGGAAAATCAGGACAAGTATAATAGCATAATTAATAAAACAAAGTTTAAAAAAAAGTAACACTCAGAAAATACCAGTTTTATTCTATCATGGTCTAAATATCCATAAGACTGTATACAGTCCTTATCTACTTATTGAATATATACATATGGTAAAAATGTTCAAATATAGCATATAATTTTAAATGATAACCACTTGATATTGGTTATATTTCCATTATAAATATCATGGTATAAATGTGATTATATACCCTGAACCCCGTGCTAGTAACACTTTGTGGCAATTCAGTGTCATCATTCATGTAGGACATGACAATGAAAATAGAAAATGCTATCCCTATAGATCTGTTTTTACCTCTTTATTACAATTAAGGCTAAGAGATGTGTCAGGTCATTCTGACCCATTCCTTAGTGTGTAGGATTTTCTTCAGCCATTTTTCTAAAGTCTATTTTAAGGGCTCTACAGAATTTTGACCCAGTATTATGTTTATTTTCCAGATAAGGAATTTTCAAATAAATTACTTTATCTGATCAATTATCCAGATAAAGTAAATGTATATAGTGAACCCTAATCAAGGAGAATTTTCTTATTTAAAAAATATTTACAGTTGAATCAAAGATTTTTTTATACATAGTAAATCATACCCATCATCTTACTCTGTGAATATGGAATGGGGCAAAAGTAAGTATACAGTTATAAGTATGCAAAATAGTTTATTTTTGCATTATTATTAATTCTTGTATTATTTTCCATATGAACAACTGTACACCTACTTTTGCCCTGCTCTGTATATATATATCTACTTCCTTATAAGTCTTTCCCAGACAATTGTTTTCATATATTGTTCATTTTGATTCAGAATAATTATTTAAATATTTTTATACATTTTAAATTTTAGTTTGAATATTTTTATTGAAGATCCATTTTACTAAATATTTCTCTGTGTGTGGGGGGTGGGATGTTTTAAATATAGTTCTGAAGTTACTGGCATTGCCAAATGGTCTTTGAAATACAAAGAAAACACAGCTTTTTAATTTATACCTTTTTTTTAATCTCTTCTACATCAAAACCAGAGTACTCTGAAAAGCCAATAAAAGTTATAATATGCACCAAAGGCCTGCCAGTGAGTGAGTTAGAAAGAGATAATCTTGCCTTTTCATCTCTCCCTCTTGCTTTACAATCCTTGTCCCTACTTGTGGAGGGTTTCTCATTCTTCGATATAGGATGTGCTCGGCCTACTGGTCCCCTGGCTCCCGCTCCTGGCATTTCTTTCCTCAGAGGTTTTACTTCTCGATTGGGACGCCTTATCTGAGGTGGAGCTCTGACAAGAAAAGTAAAATAAAAGTTAATCAAAGGCAAAAGTACTTCGATACTACCTTAGTCGACAAAACTATTAAGTCAAGAAGGACAGAATCCCCTTATTTACCCCTTTTGCCAATTCATGGCCATATTGATTAGATCAGTCTTTAAAAGTGCTTTTCTTTAAAATATACTGATTAATACAGTTATTAAATACATACAAATGACAATATTATAGCAGCAATTATCTTGTCAAAAATAACTATGAATCACCAATGAAGGGCAACACAAACTATTCCCATCTAATAATCTTAATAGAGTAATGGAAAGGCCATTAAGTTTATTCATTACTGTCCTAAACCAAGAACAAGTAACAAACAAAAAAAGAACAGCCCTGGCCAAGTAGCTCAGTAGAGCATCATCCAGTACACCAAGGTTGCAGGTTTGATCACCCCATCAGAGGACATACAAGAATCAACTAATGAATGTATAAGTGGAACAAGTTAATATTTCTCTCTTCCCTGTCTTCCTCTCTCTCTCCAAAAATTTTTAAAAGGAGTGGGGTGTTATTTTTTTAAAAGAACATCATAAAAGCTGAAATGACAAGAATTCAAAATATGCCTATTTGTAGTTTACTATTTTTTTTACAATATAATGCTTTTCTCTGATTCCGTACTGGAAAATCCAACATTTCATTCATAAATTACAAATGGCAGGACTCAACAATCAAGTCTTATAAACAAAGTAACTTATTTTAAAAATATTATTCATGCTTTGAGGGGGTCAAAAATCACAGGATCCTTCAGATTATACAGGTCCCCAAATGTGAATCAAGAATTTTGATGACTATGAATGGTAATGGATGTTAATGAGACTTATTACAGCCATTTTGCAATATATAAAAATACTGAACCATTAAGTTGTACTCCTGAAACTAGTATGTTATGCCAGTAATATCTCATGAAAAAATTTTTTTGATGACTATATAAATGTAACAGTGCACACAAAGTGGCATATTTTGTTTCATGTAATGTGAAAAGTGTCCTCTTCAAATAGCAAAATTTTGAGGTTGCTCAGCAGCGTATTATCTCTCTGGGTGTTGGGGGTACTCTATCACTGTGTGTGTAATCTTTTTTCTTGAACCATCTCTGCCTGTTTCCATACCTCTTCTCTCTGCAGCCCTTCAGATCCCACATGTGCATTCCTTTTTCACCAATTGGACATTTCTATTATTATGCCCTTTCCAGTTTCATGCTTTTAATTCACTAACTCATCGCGAAGCTTCTCTTCCTGGTATTAGAAAAAGTGGCAAATGTATACAACACAATTGAACCCAGCAAAACAGGTAACTGGATAAAAAGCCAGGAGGGTTGCAAATTTCAAGCAAAAAAGAAAAAAAGTAAAAAAACTGACAACATATTGCAGATCTAATGTAGTATCTTCAGTTTGTTGGAATTAGACCACTACATGAACCTGCTAAGCATAGAGAGGTTGATAGAATCTGTACCAAGGGGACCCCCAAAACCTGGAATTATCTTCTGGAGGATGGGTCCCTTGTAGTACAGGCTCTCACCCCTAGGTGAGTAGTCTAGTAACCCATCTGTATCAGTATACCAGCTGGCGTTGTTGTGAGAGGCTGCATTTGGCTTCAGTGAATTATTTTTGAAAACTCTTTCAAAGTGTTTGCCCATTTCATGATAGGTAATTTATGAGCATCCCAGCCCATTCTTCACTGAGTATTCAGCAGTTTTTAACCAAAACCAGCAGGACCCCCATAACCTAACCTCCCTATTCACCCAATCTTGCCCTGAGCAACTTTTTTTTGTTGTTTTCTTAGATGAAAAAAGTATTCAATGGGAAACTATTTCCTGATGTGGAGGAGGTGGAAAAAAAAGGCAGAAGCAGTAAAAGGCATCAAAACCAACAATTCAGAAACTGTTTTGAGCAGTGGAAAAAACGTCTGAACAGGTGTATTGCAATAAATTGAGAGTACTCTGAAGGTGACTGAAGTTTAAACATGTAAGAATAAATACATGATTTTTATATGTAAATTCCATTTTTTGGTGGTTCCCCTTTGTATGTCTAACTATGAGGTTCCCACACACTGACAGCTGAACCCTGGGAGTCCATTCAAACAGTGGTGCACTGAACACCCTTTAGGAGGCATTCAGCCTCTGCTGTGCTAGGCCCTCAAAGGAGAGACAAAGACGAACATGAAATGGTGTAAAAGAAATCCACAGGGAAGAAACTAGAAAATAATGTATAGTAAACTGATTATAAGGCATTTTCAAATTTAAAGGTATTATTATATTATTGGTTCCAGTGCATTATTAGTCTTTAAGCGTACTGCCAATAAAAGAAAAACGTGATGAGACTGGTAAAAAATAAAAAACTAAAAATGTTACATTGCTCTATTCTTAGTATTTCACTGCAACCACTGTTTCCTGACTGGTTTGTTTTAATGAGGGATAGATTGTTTATATATATCTGCATATGTATCAACGCCTTTCTGGAGCCCAATTCATGGGTATGACCAATAATAAGACAAGCATCTCCTCCACATGGAACACAGGCAAGTTTGGCCTGTCATCTCTGCATCTGTTTAAACAGTCTGTCATTGTTTATGGTCCTGCCCTTGGGACACACAGCCAGCCTGGAGCCCGTGCTCACTGGCAGCAGTTCCAACCACACGCCTGCACCCAGCCTCGTGGTCAGGGTAGAGAATCCTGAAGCACAGCTGCCACCTCCACAGACTGTGCTCCCCTTTAGCATGGTCTGTCGGGGCTGCTGAGGAGGCACAGATAGTCCTTGGGTACCCTACCGGTTCAGGGAGGCTGTGTTGTCAGAGACTTACTTCAAAGCTCATGCACAGCCTGCATGCCTAGGGTTTGCTGCTGCTGACCTGCCCTGCCACTCAATACTCTGATGGGCTCAGGCACAGTTTGAGTGAAATTGTTCAAGAAGCCACATGTGCCATTTGTGGTGAGTTCCATCTCACAGAAACTGGGCCTGTGCCTGGTGAGTCTTCAGTTCCATCTCACTGCAGCTGGATGTCAACATTTGTAACAGACTCTGTCAGCTTCCCAAAGGACAACCTTGATTCTAGTCTGTAGACCACCCTTTAGGAGTGCACCACTGCACAATGGCATGCTTCAAATTAAGGACTCAGTGACAGCTTCCAGGCTGTGTAACACCTATGTCTAGAGGCTTTTACTGATCTCTTTTTAAAAAGAGACTTTAGTATGGTTACAAAACATTATCAACCTCCATCTGAATGCTCAAAGACTGACAATGTACCAGCTTATACTGTTTCAAATATAGAGAATAACTCACAGATCTGCAGATAAAAGACTAGACTGTCTACACTGTGCTCAGTCCTACTTGAAGACATTTCCGTATAGGAATGGGAAGAAATTGCCTTACTTTATCATATGCAAATAAACCTGATTTCCTCCAAAATCCAGTACTTCCTCTTTCTAAGCTGTACTATTAAATGTCAAATTTATAAGTAAATGTTCTCATCAGCATTGCTTCCAAGCACCTGGAAACAACCCAAATGTCGAGTATCAGACTACAGAAATAAAGTACTATATGTTCACATAATGGGATCCTGTGTTCACAACAACACAGTTTACAGCTATACACAGTGACAAACATGAATCACAGGACCACCACCTCAAGGGAAAACACAGGTTCAAAGAACATGCAGTGTAATTCCAAGTAAAACAGGATGCTATTTGGGGATACAAATGTATATGTTAAAATGTCAAGAAAGGCAAGAGAATTATAAACTCCAAATACAGGGTAGTGTCAACTGTGACAGGGGAGGAAATGGAATAGGATGCAGAGGAGACCACAGGGGAACTTCAAAGGTACCAGCAAAGTCCTTTATCTTAAACTCCAAGGTGAATATACAGATGCTAGTGTATTGTGACACCTTATACCTTACACGAATTTTAATGTTCATATTATCTACTCATAATATGAACATATGAACCGTAGTTAATAAAACTGAAATATGATTATACTACAACAACACTAAGACATTTGAGCACCTAAAAATGAAATTATAGGGTTGCTACAAAGTTTCTGACATGTGCTAGAAACACTCATGTTCTACTGATGTGGAATCCAAGTACCCGGCCTCAGATGAACCTACTGCACCATTACCTGGCCAATCTCCAGAGAAGACTGGACTATACAAATAGGACTCTCTGACTCACGGTGCTGCGCCACCACAATTCCCAAAGTCAAAGCAAAAGGGGCCTCTTTGACAGTATCTTCATGCTATGCCATGTTAACAAACAGGGTCTCTAAGATATATTACATTTTTCTCTAATTGCTCTATAAGCTCCTTTCTAAAAATTCCATCTATTGAACTCTTCAATTTCTTCTAGCTTTCTGCTTAATGATCACTCTAAACGACTTGATTTTACCTATTTGTTCAAACACTGTTACAATTCTGGTACAAGAATAAGTAATTTGGAACAAGTCCTCTTTGTGCCCAACAACATAACCCAAGATTACATAAAGTTAACCTCCGAAAAAGAAAAAAATAATCTGATTTTGCTACTACATTAATGCATATAAGCCCAGAATTAAATAAACAGAAAAACATCTCTCTCCACAACTAACAAAAGCATAAGAGACATAAATTCCAAGTAATTCACACTAATATTTTTGCTATAAAGACTTGGAATCAATTTATCAGACTCTGAGTCCAAGAAAAAATTATTTGTTAAAAAATCATAAGGTGTTCCAGTCATAATGAGAGCATAGGCAAACCCAGCTCACCTCCTCACAAAACCACATTGAAGTTACAAGTAAAATATAGAACAGCCAACACAACCATCAGATATCCAGTTGAACAGAAGTCTAACTACAGAATTAAAGAAACCACACCCATCCAGACTGTAGGTAAAAGTCTGAGAGGGGTTTCTCAGGAACAAGGAGTCCCAGCCCTACACCAAGGTCTCCAGCCCAGGGTTCCAGGGCCAGGAAGGTAAGCCCCCATAACTTCTG